TCCCCTCCCCTCCCCTCCCTGCATGGAGCCATGCCATCTTGAGCTGCGAGGAAGCGCTGCCCATGTCGCAGGCACACTGCGGCGGGGAAATTTATGTTTGGGAGTGGTGTCTAGTTCTTGGTGGATCAATCCTTGCTCGATGTGTCTTGAGAGGCAGACGGCACAGAGGCCTGGTATGGCCACTGCCCCTGTTGCAAGCGACCGCTGGCGCTTTCTCGGTCAGTCCCGAGGGGTCCGAGGCAGCTCACAAACTTTACGGTTCCGATGGTCTTTTCACAACTTTTTCACCATGTTGTGACCATGAGGGACTCCTTGCCGGCTGCCCGGGGGCGGTTTGCCTACGTCATCAACTTGCGGCTGGGCGAGGGATCTCCAGGTTTGGATTGAGCTGAAGCCTTGGTTGCAGGAGGGTCGGAAGGCATTGTCCCAGTTCCAGCGTGTGACACCGATGCCGTGCCGTGAAACTCGGATCCTCGCCTGGCCTTGGCTGGGAGCGATACAAAATGTGTTGACTGCAAGCATTGTTGTAGCCTGTTGGTATCACCTCGGTGTTTCAATCAAAAGGTAGCTGTCCTCTCAGCCTCGCCTGAAGGTCCGGGTTGTGAGCATCCGGACCTGTTACAAAGCCCACGCTATTTTGCTTTCACGCAGCCCGAGCCTGGCATGGGGGAGTGCGAGGGTCAAACAAAGCCTCTTCTCAGGTGGGGCAAGTCCAGCGAATATGTGCTTGGCGCTCTCGTGCTGGGGCACTCGATCAAGCGGAGTGGCTCCAAGCACGCCTTGGTTTGTCTCTATGCCGACGACGTGCCTCCGTCTTGTGTGAATCTATTGTCCAGAATTTGGGACTGCCGGCCCGTGCAGCACATCGCGGTGGCGGCCGACAAGCTCGGAAACTCCTCTCCAGGACATCGCTTCGCAAAGGTCTTCACGAAGCTGCGTTCCCTGGAGCTGGTTGAATTTGAAAAAATTCTCGTGCTTGACATCGACATTTACGTGCGCCTGCGCTGCACGTGGGTCCCGATTGACAAGCAATCCAGACCTGAGTCAAGCAAGTCACTGATGCATGTTCACAAGGCGCGGCAATGTCGATGATCTTTTCCAGTTACAAGCACCCGCTGCTATGCGACGAGGGATACATGGATGGAAGGCACTGAAGACAGGCCGCCGTGGCACTTTCTCATGTTTGATGCGTTGACGCACATTGCCGACCCAAGCCCGAAGCGAAGAACCGGTCCAGGTGACGCCCTGGATGGGCGAGACTTCTTCATGGGTCGCGATTACAGCGGCTGGTCCTGGGGCCAGGGAACAGGCGAGACGGCTTCAAGCGCTGACACAGCGAGAGTGAACATGGCAGGGTGTTGGTCCTTTTGCTTGCATCGTTAGAGAGGCATAAATGCCGGAGTTATGCTCCTACAACCTGACCTCGACATTTTTCACGAGATGCTTGGTGAACTCTCAGATCCGCATCATCCGGAGCGGCTTCATTGGCAGTTAGCAAGCTTTCTTCGTCACGCCTGGTCTCCATGAAGTTCAAAGGCCTCAGGCATCGAAGTATCTGTCTGCACGAAGGCACTGCGTGGGCAATGGCCCTGAGCAGGACTTATGCACGACTGTACCAGTTACCACTACATATTCACATTTGGCAAAGGCACCGATAGATCGAGTCCCGTTGCTTACCTGCTTGATCCCATGGAGGACTATTTGAGCAGATTCTGGGCAGATGCGCCCTGGCGACACATCGGTGTAGAATATAACTTTCAAATCCACCAGATGTTCCTGGCCCTCCATCCGGACCGCGTGCCGCACTCAGCTTCATCTCGAGTAATGCCTGCAGCTTCCCCGTGTTTTTTGGCCTGAGCGGCCTGTTCTGCAGTCTAGACTGGAGGTGGCGAGCGCACACCGGATTCGGCTGCTGGAGGCAAGGCTCGGGGGTCGTGCTCTCGCTTGCTTCGTTGCAGTTGCCTGGTTTGCCTTCGGACATATTGCGGCAATGCTACAGAAGTAGCTGGCAATGGCTAGTAACGGCTAGTAGCAGTTACTGGGGTAGTTCCAATTTGTTGCCGGCACAAGCATCCGGATCTCCTGGGCACGGGTTGGGATCGGTCTGCTGCGCTAGAGAGCTGCTGAAGCCACCGTTGCGCCCATGCCTGTGCCATATTGCTCCATAACTTGATCATCTGCCGCTGCGAGAGAACTCGACTGCACCTGGGGTCAAGCAAGACCAGGGAGGAGACTTTCGCTTGCGTCCGAAGGACCAGAGCCAAATCAAGATAGTGCACTTCTCGGGTGATGCCAGTCCCTCAGGGTTTCGGCCAGTTTGAGTTTTGATGGCATCTCGCGATGCGGGGTCAGTGCTGCATCAAGCATCATGCGACAGACATGCTCGAGAGTTGCACCTGTCGGAGCTTCAACCTTGACCTTGTCCTGGATGGGTTATATGGTCTCTGTCATTAACACTCATATATATATATATATATCTACAATCTACTACCAGTACCAATACGACATAATCATCATGAAACGTAACATAATACATAATATGTGCTCAGGACAAGGCAAAGCCTTGGCGACGCATTCTCGACGAAAGCTTGAGCGGCTACTGGCCGGTGGCTCGTCGTATCGCAACAGGTTTTGACGCATCGCAGCCCGAGCTCCCTAGGTCTAGGGATTTTAGGGTTTAGGGTTTAGGCTCTTTTTGCTCCAGGACAGGGCCAAGGATGATGCCTTCCTGTCTCTCTTCTTCCAAGAGTTTCAGGGCTACTGGCTCTGGGTGAAGCGGGACCTTGAATCTTGGCAAATCGGTGAAGGCGCCCTGAAGCGAAGCCTTACGAATTCATGGTATTGAACTCTGTTGGTTTGTCCGCTCACAGGATTGCCGCCAAGTGCTAGGGGGGCCTTTCTGCAGCCTTACGACTTCCTTCTGCGTCAGCAGAAGCTTGAGGAATGGCTGAAGTCCTCCAAAGAGGACCCGCATCGCGGATGGGAGTATGCCGACCTGCAGATCAGCGACGGGCACATGTATAGGTGGCTCGTTCGAACCCGAGACTTCGGCCGCCGTGAAAGTTGGCGCTTCAGGCAGCCTGCCGATGGCGATGCCTCTGCATCTGCCGTTTGTGTGACGCTGTCCCCGGAGGCCATCAAAGAATCACCTGGCATGTTCTGTACGTGCACAGTACTCGTCACTCCATTCGCAGCTTGCTCTGCTGTGACGAGGTTGAGAAGGCGGTGGATGGTTTTGTCCGCACCGTTCTTAATGCCGCTCCGCTTGACAGGGCCTGTTGAAATGGTGGGCAGCACAGCGCGCCCCTGTCGTGCTTGTGCAGAGAGTGCAGTTTCACATGAACCGCGCAAGGCAGTTTTCATTGAGCGTGCTGGCGCACGAAATGCCCAGGAGTGGTTCGAAGCCCTGGGAGAGTTGGAGGCGGATTTGGGCTTGAACCTCCAGCAGGAGTTGCCAAGGCTTCAATGCCGCTCTCGTGTCGATCACTTGCGAAAACCCACCCCCCCCCACACCCGGACTGTCTTGGCAGGTGCTTGAAAACCGCCGAGCTGGCAGAGGGAGAAGGCGCTTTTGGCGGATAGCCTAGCGGCCTAGCAGCTGCTTCCCCAGAGAGCCCAATACCCCTTACTTAAGGAATATGCCTTAAATCATAATATTAAGACCCCTATAATTTAAGGTGTATTCCTTAATTAAGGGGTATTGGGTTCTCTGGGTTCTTGCTGTGCCATGGTGACCCTGAGGTCAGCCTGCTGCCGCTGCCGAACCGCCGATCACCTTTGCTCGTGACAGCTTGTTCACTTGGAAGCGAGATGCAGGGTGGTGGACGGAGGACGGCCGAGCCGTGCACGACCCTAAACCGGACCTGATCCTGGATGTGTCCGAGTTGCGAGATTAAAAACCCCAAGCCCTACCCACTGCAAGTAACAGTGTGCTGGAAGGATTGGCCTGCAGAGCCCTGCTTCAAAGCTACAGCCGCTGCCACGCACCAATGCATGAAAGACTGTCAGATTGCAGATGTTTTGAGCCATGACAATCGTGTTCTGTAGCCGCAGTCTCGATGCTATAGCCCCTGGCATCTTGCACGACTGAGGTGTTGTGCAGTGCTGCCGATGCCGCGATCTTTGTAACGTTTCTTGAGGAGTGGGCGATCCGTGTGCGTAACACACGATCATACATGTTCGTTTTCTGAAGCCAGGCCAGGTGGAAGATCATGTTCCGAGACTTGCTTTGGGGGACAGCTAGAAAAAAAACAGAATGCTTGGGTGGTTGGTTGTAGTGGCAGGTCTATGAACCTTCAGCAGCCCCTTCGAACACAGGACGGCGTGGCGACTCTGTGCGCTTGTCCAGAGAATGCCTCAGGCTCCTGCATCCGACACGCATTCGGCACAAGAGACTGGCCAGGAAATCAGTCAGGGATCTCGGACTCGGAGTTATAATTGAAGCTTTGGCTCAAGACAAATTTCGCTAGCACGCACCGCGAGCCGCCCATAAAGTTACGCACATGGCGGTTGTCAGCAAGATGGCCCGGTCAACAGGCCCTGTGGCGGTAGGTGGCGCTGTGGCTGCTGCGCTACTGGCAGCCCCCAGCTTCCTTGCTCCGGGACAGGATGTCCCTCGTCAGATGCAACTGCAGACGCAGCACGTCGCCAGCAGAGCTTCGGGTGACGAGGCCAGGCATGCCAGGAACCTGAACATGGCCGCAGCAGGTGCCAGCGCCATGAGCATGGGCGCAGTCGCCGCGTTGGGCCCGCGCCGTGCGGCCAAGCGCGGGCCGGCCAAGCGCAAATCCGCATTGGCTGCACTCTCCACTGAGAACGGAGACGGGAAGGGTCCCGAAGGCCTTCCAGAGCTCGTGGCCTTGGCTGAGCAGCTTCTTCGACAGCCCGAGCCACAGCAGGTGGCTGTCCTCGTGCAGCAGCTTCAGGCTTTTGCTGCGAGCGAGCTCCGCCGAGGTGCGGTGCTTTCGGCCCCAGCTGTCATGGCCTTTGCGAGGGTTGCAGACGCCGGCGAGTCGCTGCGGGGTGGCGCCGAGAAGCAGCTTCGCTGGGCGGCAGGCGCTGCCGCATCTCTTCTTCTGACTTACAGTGTCAGCCTGCAGCCGGCCGTGGCGGCGGATGCCGTCAACTATTCCGATTTCATGGAGTCCGTCAACCGCGGTGACGTGGAGATGGTGCGTGTCCAGGATGACCAGCTTTCCGCCCAGTACACCACCAAGGATGGAGCTCGTCACGAGGTGAACTTGATCCCCAATGGACAGCCGCTGGGCTCTGCAATTGGGCTTCTTTTGCCTATGGGTGTTTGTCTGTCGTTCTAGCTACCGTTCCGGCGCTGCATGCAAGGACTGGCCTGCATCATTGCAGGTGAGCGTAGTTATGGTGTGCATAGGAGAGGCCCTCGAAACATGCTGCATTGAACCACGACCGGCCATAGAGTATGCCATAGAGAAGACGAGTCGAAGCAAGTACGCCTGATGCACACACCCAGTAGGATACATGACACTTGAGGAAGAGAAGCCGATCCAAACTCAAACCAGGCCAAATCGAACAGGGAGCACTTTGACACGATTTAGCACAAATGGTGAACAGCGTACATGTGCCATCATGTGCTACTGCTGCTGCTGCTGCTGCTGCTGCCTGGTTTTAGTTCATGCTTTCGTAAGTAACCACTCTAGGGATCTTCATCTCCCATCCCTGCCTGCGAGCTATCACTGGCCCTGTCCTGGCTACCTTCCCCCCTCCCGGCAGGCCAGCAGAGCCTACACACATGTGCATACTCGCTCCTGTCCGGACGGGAAACTCACGGGAGCTCCGAAAGACCCTTCGTCTGCCCATCCAGCAGCCGGCCTCTCCCCCCTTATGTAGCCGGTACTTCTTGCCCGATAGCTCGACCACCACATATTTTGTACACCTAGCCTATTGAAATCAATGAGCACGCTAACAGCTTTTGTGATTTTCCGGTTTTGGCAAGAAGCAGAGTTCAGGATTCAAGACCTGTTGTTCAACAGCCTTGCAGAGAAGAAGGTGGATGTGGTCATGCAGAGCCCTGGAGCCAACAGTGGCGGGCCATTGGACTTCCTGGCGCGCTTTGCAGGTCCCATCGCCTGGCTGATCGCAGGGCTTCTTGTTCTCTTCGGAGGCGCTGGCATGGGAGGACCCGCAGGACCTGGCGGCCCAGGCGGAAACCCGCTTGAGCTCGGCAAGTCTAAGGCCAGAATCATCAAGGATGGGGACACGAAGGTCAAGTTCGCAGACGTGGCTGGCTGCGATGGTGCCAAACAAGAGTTGGTGGAGGTCGTCGATTTCCTGAAGAACACCTCGCGCTACTCCGAGCTCGGCGCCAAGATCCCCAAGGGTGCCCTCTTGGTTGGGCCACCCGGTACCGGCAAGACGCTGCTGGCGAAGGCAGTGGCCGGTGAGGCAGGCGTTCCCTTCTTCAGCATCTCGGCATCGGAGTTCGTTGAGATCTTCGCGGGGATCGGTGCCTCGCGTGTGCGTGACCTCTTCGAGCAGGCGAAGAAGTCAGCCCCCTGCATCATCTTCATCGACGAGATTGATGCGGTTGGTCGGCAGCGCAGCGCGGGCTTCGGCCAGGGCAACGACGAGCGAGAGCAGACAGTGAACCAGCTGCTCACGGAGATGGATGGCTTCGAAGCGAACAAGGGCGTCGTAGTAATTGCGGCCACGAACCGAGCCGACATCCTGGACCAAGCCTTGGTGCGGCCAGGACGCTTCGATCGCCAAATTCAGGCATCGGGGTAAGCGGCTGCATTGGTTTAGAGTTTCGGAGTTCCAGGCTTGTAGACGATCGCGTTGTCTTGTGGAAGGCATGGCGTGAGAACGCCACCAATGTATGTTGAAGAACTGTTCTGAAGAGATTTTAGCAGATGGTGCGGCAGGTGGATCCTCCCGACGTCCAGGGCCGCTCCGAAATCTTAAAGGTTCACGCCAAGGGAAAGAACCTGGCACCTGGTGTTGACCTCGCAGCCATTGCCCGGCAGACACCCGGCATGTCTGGCGCGGACCTCGCCAACCTCCTCAACGAGGGCGCCATCGTCGCGGCGCGCCAGAACAAGGCGGAGATCGACTCCGACGACATCTTCAATGCACTGGAGCGCATTGCGATTGGCTTGGAGAAGAAGGATGCCGTCATGTCCGAACCGAAGAAGAGGTTGGTGGCATACCACGAGGCCGGTCACGCCATCCTGGGTGCACTGATGAACGACTATGACATCGTGGCGAAGATCAGCATTGTTCCCCGTGGGCCTGCCGGCGGCGTCACGATCTTCATGCCCTCAGAGGACAGGCTCAATTCCGGTCTTTACTCGAAGGAGTTCCTGGAGAATCGCATGTGCGTGGCACTTGGCGGGCGCCTGGCCGAGGAGATCATCAACGGCAGGGATAACGTCACCACCGGTGCATCGAACGACTTCCAGCAGTGCACGCAGGTCGCCAAGCAGATGGTGATGTCGCTGGGCATGTCCCCGGAGATTGGCCAGCGGCTCCTGGGAGGACAGCAGGGCGGTGGACCTTTCATGGGCCGCGACTTGATGGGCCAGGGAGCACCTCCCATGTCTCAAGCACTGAAGCAGAAGGTGGATGCCGAGGTCAAGCGCATCGTGGATGAGCAGTATGAGCGTGGCATGAAGCTCCTGCGCGACAATATGTATCTCCTGGATGAGCTTGCCAATCTGCTCATGGAGGAGGAGAAGGTCTCCGGCGAGCAGCTGATGAAGCTGATCAACAAAGCAGCTGCCGCAGGAAAGCTCGTAATGGGCAACACAAAGATGGCAGTCGCCGCCTACACGGGTGAGGTGGTCGAGACCATGCCTCGCAAGACACAGTGCCTGCATCCGGACAAGCCGATGATGTTCCTCGGCACCCAGGGAGCTGCCAGTGATTTGTCATAGCAGTGGGCTTTCTTTGCGAGCTTGTGAACGGACAATGCGCTTCAGGTTCGCTTGTGCCGACTGCCCTCGTCGCGGCTTCTGCGGCTCTTCGCGTGCTTCGCCACAGGGTGGCAAGGCCGCTCGCAGCGCTGTTGCCCGGCTTGGGCTGGCAACGCCTGACGCTGAGAGCCCGGAGTCCACCAGTGAGGAGGTCCTGCGCCGAGTGAAGGACATGGCCGGCGAGGTCTCCACCGGCGCTGCGCTGCCCGACACTGTTGTGAATGCTGCTGCTGTGCAGGTCCTCGCAGCTCTCGCTGCCACCTCGGCACCATTGGCAGCCAAGGCTGACGATGTGCCGGCGCTGCAGTCCATGGGCGCCCCGCAGATGCAGATGCAGCAGCCGAGCGGAGGGGGCGTCGCCGGCGTCACGGGGCGCGTGACCTACTCGCGTCTCCTCGAGTTCGTGGATGAGGGTTCTGTGAAGTGCGTGGACTTCTACAACCTTGGCCGCACAGCCGTCGTCACCGTGTCAGGGGGCGGCCAGCTTGTTTGCGATCTTCCAGGTGCCACCACAGGCCTCATCGAGAAGCTGACAGGCAAGGGTGTCTCGATCGAGGTCCATCAGCCGGAGAGGCCAAATCCTTTGTTCGGTGTCCTGGGTGATGTTGCCCTTCCACTGCTGCTGATCGCAGGCCTGCTATTCCTCCGCTCTAATGCCCCCGGTGGCGGTGGCATCCCAGGCTTCGGCAGCCAAGGTCAGGCTAAGATCATGATCACACCTGAAACCGGCGTGAAGTTCGAAGATGTGGCTGGCATCGACGAGGCGAAGGAAGAGCTTATGGAGATTGTGGACTTCTTGAAGGCACCCGAAAGGTTCGTGAAGGTCGGCGCGAAGATCCCTCGCGGGGTGCTGTTGACAGGCCCCCCCGGCACCGGCAAGACGCTGATGGCCAAGGCACTGGCAGGTGAGTCTGGCGTGCCCTTCATTCAGTCTTCCGCCTCGGAGTTTATCGAGCTTTTCGTCGGTGTGGGTGCCTCGCGTGTGCGAGATATCTTCAAGCAGGCCAAAGAGAAGGCTCCATGCATCGTGTTCATCGATGAGATCGATGCAATTGGTCGCCAGCGCGGAGCTGGCATGGGCGGTGGCAACGACGAGCGTGAGCAGACCTTGAATCAGATCCTCACGGAGATGGACGGCTTCGAGGGAAATAGCGGTGTGATCGTGGTCGCAGCCACTAACCGGTCGGACATCCTGGACAACGCTTTGTTGCGCCCTGGGCGTTTCGATCGCCGTGTGCAGGTCGGTCTCCCAGATGTCAAGGGCCGTGCGCAGATCCTGGAGGTCCACGTCAAGAACAAGAAGCTCGACGGCGAGATCACACTCATGGACATCGCCAAGCGCACCGCCGGCTTCTCTGGTGCTGACCTGGAGAATCTGATGAACGAGTCAGCTATCCTTGCAGCCCGGCGCAACAAGACGGCCATCAGCATGGATGAGATCAACGACGCCACCGACCGGGTCATCGCGGGCCTCGAGGGACGTGCTCTGCAGGACAACGCGGCCAAGAAGCTGATTGCCTACCACGAGGCAGGACATGCCATCGTCGGAACCCTGCTCCCATACCACGACCCCGTGAACAAGGTGACCTTGATCCCGCGTGGGCAGGCCAAGGGCCTCACCTGGTTCACCCCAAATGAGGACCAGAGCCTGATCTCTGCCGCCATGCTGAAGGCTCGTATTGCCGGCGCCCTGGGCGGACGGGCTGCCGAGCAGCTGATCTTCGGAACTAGCCAGGTGCAGGGGTGCGTGCGGGGCGTTTTGCGATATTTTGCGGGTGTGTTGAAACTCGTTGTGACTTGGATTGGCTCATCCTGGTTTCATGTCCGCGTGCCCTGCTCGGCAGGTGACGACGGGTGCCGGGGGCGACCTCCAGCAGGTGGAGCGCATGGCCCGGGCAATGGTCACCCAGTTTGGCATGTCCGAGGTCGGCTCCCTCGCAATCGATGACGGCGGCTTCACGGGCCCCGACTACTCGGAGGAGCTCAGCGAGAAGATCGACCAGGCCATCAAGAACATCTCGGATGATTGCTACCTCAACGCACTGAACATCCTGATGACCAACCGTGCGTGCCTGGATCGTGTGGCCGACGAGCTGACAGAGCTGGAGACCATGACCGGCGATCGCCTTCGGGAGATTATCGCCGAGTACGCGGAGATCCCTGCCAAGCTCGCGGCTGTTTGAGAGCTCTCTGCTGGCCACGGTTTGTGCATGCCGACGGTGGGAATTCGGACTAGCGGCGGGGCTATTTAAGGTTGCCCCGGGACATCTCAGTCGCACTGAGAGCTGGCATTTCGGGATGTCAAACTAATAGTCGCCTGACAACCTGAATATAATTCGTCTTTGAGCTGCAGGCTTACATGCTCCGTCCAGAACAGAATATCCTGTGCAGCAGTTTCTGGATGGGGCCAACTTGCAACGCGGACCAAAAAGGTCGTAGTTGCAGGCGATCTTCATCGACTCTGATAAATTTTCTGACCCGCTGTACAGCCCAAGAGGTCCCAATGGTTTTGATGCCGCGTTTCAACGCTTTTCGGCGGAGGGTCCACCGAACTCTGCCTCCAGGGCATAGCAGAGTCGGCAAGGTAGTCGAAGCGTGAGGGCCTCGCGATCGGTTGACCCTTGTTGCCAGCACAGGATGCCACAGGCGCATTGCGTTCTGCAAGACACTAATCTTCCCCTCTCGCACACCGCAGCGCGCGACAAAAGTCTACACTGCCTTCGTCTTTGGAGCCGTCGGTTCGCGGCTGCTGATGCTCAGGCTCGGCGGAGTCTAAACCCAGAAACCTCGGAACCAGCTCGAATCCCAAGTTCCCTTCGCTTGGTGACCGATACTCATCATGTGCAGAAATCGGCTGTGATTCGGAGGAGGCTCAAGGTTCAGCTAATGCTTGGAAATTGAGGGTTTCGGGTCTGACACATCAACACAGGGTTCAGGTTTATTTGCAGCTGCCTAGAACTGGCATCCCCCCCTTGCAGCTTCAAAACTCACCTGGGTCCAGGCGTCTTCGCGAAGGTTGCAGGCGAGGACAGGGTGGAGGCAGAGGCGGCAGTGGTGGCCGCTTGGGCAGAAACCTTGACACCAGGCACCTGGGCGGAGGAGAAGAGACTTCACAAGCCATCCATGTTCCTCTAGGGCTCTAGGGTTAACAGAGGGGCCTAAATAATTGCCTATACCATTTTGAGGGGTTCCGGTTTGTTATTATAGTATAAGGGGCCCCAAAACCCTATTCTAGTTATTAAGGCCCCTACATTAAGTTACTCCGGGTTGCAGGCACGCCGCTGATGTTGGCGGTCTTCGGATCTGATGCTGCGCTGCTTCAGGCCTCTTGTCAAGACCCCACCAGGGAGTTTCCGAAAATAGGGGGTTTTTACCGTATTTTGGGGTCCTTATCATAAGGATCTTACTATTTGGGGTACTATATTTAGGGTCCCCCCTTTTTCGGAAACCCCCATATAGTAACCCACGCAGCAAGTTGTAGAACCCTTTCAGTATCCTTTTGAGGCCTTGGCTCCTTTGGGCCTTCCACCACCTCGGGGTCCATGCAGAGCCTTTGCCGCCGTGGGCCAAGCAAAGTCTTCTTGGGTGACGCATGCATCCTGGGATCCCGAGCTGCATTCGGCAGATGTTCATGGAACCCTAAACCCTAGACCCTAAACCCTAAACGTGGCAGCAACAAACAACTATCTTCTGACATTTTGGATGCAGAGCTGGCTCTGTGCATCTATCTCAGGATGCTGCCTATGTCTCGGTCCCCTTGCGCAGAACATGACGTGCTTACGCGAGGCTGCGCGAGCACTTGCGTGGAAAAAGTGTCCGTGAGCTGCCCGGAGCTTCTGAGGCCGACATCAGTAAGCCTCTGATCTGTTGCCTTCCATCCCACTCCTCTCCTTGAATTTGCCACTATCTCGGCGTCTTCGTTGTATTTCTGCAACCTCTTTCTTCTTTCTCTCCACAGGTTTGGGGTTGCGAAGTGACTCACGTACACAATGCAGCTCATGCGCGTGTGAACTATGAGCGGTGATGTAACAAGTCCAGCCGGAGGTGGAACTGACAACCTGAAGGAAGCATACTTATGCTTCCTTCAGGTTTTGCGATGGCTCGGGACAGATCGCAACGATAGCTTTTAGTTTCGGTGAAGTATGTTGTGCAGCCCTTCTCGCAGACTCTGTTTGCCGGCACCCTGGCAAACCACCAGCACACAAAGCGCAATCCGTGAAGCGGGTGCAGGGGGATTCGGTTGGGTACCAGTATGCCGCAGTAGCACGAATATAGGCGCACAGACGCGCTCAGGCATGGCCGTCATGCCATGCCCCCCCTCCCCCCCCTCTGTAAGAAAAGTTGCAAGGCTTGTTGCATGTCGCCATGTCTACACAGACACACATGTTCGGCGCATGTGGGGCTGCAGCAGTGATGGGTCGACTCTGGTGGGAAGCTGCGGGGCAGACCGAAGTAGTCGCAGTTTGCCCTGAGAAGCAAGGTAGCAGGAGCAGAGCACTTATATAGACTTAGACTATTACAAGAGATTAAGGGCAACAGAGGCCACCAAACAAACAGCACAAAAGCAGAGGGAGGTGCCTGACCAAGTGCACTGCAGACTGAATGCTTCACTCGCATGCAACATGTGGGAAGCTTGACTGCCTACATGCCTCTCACTTGTGGAGCAGATGCACATGCCGAGTTACACCAGTGCTACCAGTAGCAGGTGCACATGACGCCCTGATTGAGGGTCGGGACCAAGCCGAACAAGCCTACCTTCAGGCCACTCGGCGCTCGACTTCCCTGCGTGGGCCAAGCCCACGGCGAGGCGCTATTTCTTCAGGGGCTCAGTTTCATCATTCCTGGCCTGGGTGAGGTTTCATATTTAGTTCTGAGTTATGCTGTATGCAGAGTATGTATTGCCTGACTGCAGTGTCGCGCTAAGCGGGCGAGGCTCGTTGTGAAGATCGAGTGTTCTGTTTCCGCCGCTGTTAAGTGCTCCAGGTTAACCCGAAAGCCTTGGTACGGGATGTCGGGAATTATCCCGCCACAACCAGAACCAGCCACAGGCGTACTGCAAGCCAAGGCTGCCTTGCATTACACCACCTGGCGTTACATTACAGTACTTACAGCTCCATGCAGCACTTGTTGCGGATCTTCCTGGATCTGTACCTGGTCTTTTCCATCGCATTCGCTGACCTCGATGCCCGGCGGCAGTGTCCATGTTCCAAGTAGTAGAAACACCTCGCCCTGCAATCATGAAACAGTGTAGGAGACCTTCGCCATGCAGGGGTCCTCTACGGGGGGCTCAGTAGTGAACCCCGTAGCCCTGATTTGAAGCGGAGCAGCAAGCTGTACTCGGCCTGTAAATTCCTCGAGAGATGAGATTTCGCATGTAGGCTCCAAACGTGCAAGGCTCGGGCCTTCCCCCTTGTTAAGAAAGTTTCCAAGATGCTGGCACTTGGCTCGAACCCAGAACGGCCCGCTGAGTCCACGTACTACTTGTAGGTTTTCCCTTTTTTTGGGGGCGGTGTTGGCAGTGATATAGTGTACTGCAAGTAGAGAGATCCAGTTGCAGCTCATCTTGGTGGTGCACTACTTCGTACAATCCTGCCTGGGTGACATTCACTCTCGATCCACGCACGTCGCGACTTCTCGAACACGTGTAGACCTCGCTGGGAAGGTTTCACGTAATGATTGGCGACACTGAGTCACGGGTAGCAACAGCAAACAGCGGATACCTTGAATACCGACCACGGTAGTTAATGAGTAAGTCGTCAAACTCATGTGTGTATGTATCTGGATGTATAAAAATCTGCATGTATGTATTGCATGTATGTATGTATGTATGTATGTATGTATGTATGTATGTATGTATGTGAGCATTGATCTAAAGGTCCT